GATGGGTATCCCCAACACTACATGTCCCTGTAGCCCCACAAAGTCCCAGTAGTCAGTAGTGCATCAGGCAGTGGTGAGCTCTACCGGGCTACCAGACCCCAGGTCCTCCCACCATCTTCCTCAGTACCGACTGCCGGGGTACTCACCACCAGAACTGGCGATGGCTGATCTGAATAGGCTAAGGGATCTTACGAAGCCAGGCGGTCTCAATGAAGCATGACAGTCTTGCGCCGCTCTGGCATCCACACCGGGTATACCACCACAGAGATCGGCCCCAGGGCTGGAAGGCCCGTCTCCGGCGCCGGACATCATACGTCCATTTCTGCCTGGCCGTGGCCGCATCCTGATGTTGCCAGGTCAGCTCCTACTCGGTCTGCACACGCTCCCCAAACTGGCACAAGTAATCCAGCTGAACACCAGCTCCACCGGGGTCCGCAGCTCATGGCGGGTGGTGGAGGTGCAGCCGGTCCCAGTCGCAGTGTTGCTTCGCAACGAGGATCAACTGCTGCATGACTAGGGTACAATGAAACTGCTTCACCAGCCTGTCGCTCTGAGGACAGAGGGGGATAGTGCAGGTCTTCATGATCCCCAGCCACCTGCACGCCTCGCCAAATACCTGCACCTCAAAGTTTCTCCCCTGGTCGCTGTACAGCCCCTCTGGGGCCCTCGAAGTGGCAAAAAAAAACTCCTCAAGGAGCTTCACTGCTGTGGTGGTGGCGCTCAGGTCGGGAACCACATAATTTACTCCTCAGCCACTTTGTGGAGTAATCCATGGCCACGAGATGGTTCCCAGCCTTGGTGGGGGGAAAGGGACCCAGGACACCTACCCCTACATGCTCCATGTTAACGTGTCACGTGTACAGTTAAATATACACATTTACCAAAGCAAAGTTTTTTTTTTAAAATACATGTATGTATAATACCTTAGACGTTTTAGTACTAGAGCAAAACATGGACAAAAGATCATTAAAAACATGTAAATGAGTTTCTAAATGTCAGAAACCGTCTCCTTTTTGTTGTCATCACATTACCAACACATGGTCATCAAATCCAACACATGGTCCAACTGGACATGTAATAATTGCATTTCCCCCATTTACGTTGCTCTTTTGATTCTTTTTGGAGGTGACAGAGAAGAGAAAGATCCCAGTTCTTCAAATCTTTCTCAAACTTTGAAACATGGTTTTCATTTGAACAGAAACCACTTCCAGCCCATGAAATTATCATGTTTTATGTATATTAATATAATAATGTGACTCATTTATGAGTCTAGATGTAAACTATTAAATACTTCACTTCTTCAAGATGAAAAAAACTAACTGCTTTTATATATCCTGCACCCGACATTGGAAAATATCTTATATTCTTTTTTCTTTTCTTAAAATCTGGAGGGAAATAAGAAAACATCAGGTAGCTTAGAGCTCCACTCTCTGGGGAAACTGGTCACCTATATCTCCTTCAAATAAAATTATCCTCTGCTGGATACCTACTTTGGAGCTTGGCTGGTCATTGCCGCTGCTTGTCCTTAAACATAAATGTTGCAGGGTTCTTTCTTCTGCATCTGAGTTCTCCTCATGGGAACACAGCCAAGCTCATACGTTCCATGTGCTGAATTGCTTTACTTAGAATCCTAGTCCTGGAAAACAAGGATATTTTTTAGAAAAATTGCCCAAGGGCTTCACAAACTCTGAGATGAGGGATTGGGTGCCAATAATCTGGGCAATTCTACCTGAAAATTATTCCAGCCACTAAAGCAGAAAAATGTCTTTTGCATGTTTAATCCCAGGCTGCTGCAGGGGATACCACTGTTGCCTCACCCCTCTGGGACCTGGGTGCACGGTGCTGGCACGTTCTCCTCAGTTCTCTGGTTCCCCACCCCCACAATCCGGAAACATGCTAAGGTAAACTGGAGTTATCAAATTGCCCATAGGTGTGAATGTGTCAGTGTGCCCTGCAATGGGTTGGCGCCCCTTCCTGGGTTGTTCTCTGGTGCCCCTTCAAGGGTTGTTCTCTGGCGCCCCTTCCAGGGTTGTTCTCTGGCGCCCCTTCCTGGGTTGTTCTCTGGCGCCCCTTCCTGGGTTGTTCTCTGTCTTGCCCCCGTAGCTTCCAGAATAGGCTCCAGACTCCCCACCTTGAGTATGACTGAATATGACGACTGGGTACAGAAATTGAACAATGTTTAATTTCAAAAGCAACTACAATTCATCTTAATTTCCCCAGGAACAAGCCTGTTGATGTTAGCCAGGCGTATATCTTGCACATTTCCTAACTAAATAATATTGAAGTATTGAAAATCAGCACTTACATAATTTTGCCTTAGTAGCTGGCGTGCAGGTGAGCACCTGGTGCATCCTAGTGGTTGAGGTGTGAAAGTTCAAAGAGCAGAGCCACCAACACTTCATAACACTCCAATGGTAGATAATTTATGTAATTTATTCCGTTGCTAATATAGAGATACCCAGTGTATGTATATGTTCAGCAGTTAAAAACAAGGCAAAATATGTAAAGAATGTCATCTGTTCTGCTGCAATGCTAAATGAAATGAAAAATGCCCAAGAATGAAGCCTAAGGTAAGAGAACCTGGGGGGAGGGGAAGGCATGTACCCCCAGTGTTTATTTTGTAATCATTCATCTCCCCCCCCAATGAAAATATGTATTTAAATTTAGCTGTCCCGCCGCCAGTGGGGGATCCATTGTTATTGGCTGATTGAGAGGCCATCTCAAAAACCTGCCCCCACACCAGCTCTCCATGGATCAGGTTCCCCACCCTTATCCAAAGAGACACAAGGAAAGGGGATAATGCTTATTAAATTACCAGAAATATTCCAAATTGCATTTTGAAATGAGATCGTGATGCATGTTTAGAAGCAGAAACTGGAAAAACCACAGCAAACTACATAAAGAAGGGATTATAAAAAGGTTTTAAACTTTGAAACTCTTGTCAGAACACCATGCAGATTTTATGGTTCAACATGTGACGTGACTGCAGTCTCACAGGGTTAGTTTTTAATATCAGCCCAAGTGCCTCAGTTTTATAGGATGCACCCCACCTTCAGTCACTAATCAGCATGAAGATAAACAATCACATCATTAATTCACCAGTGAGCTGAATCTCTTGTTTCATACTTGACTCATCTGGCTGGAGGGGCACCTTGGGCACAATGGCTTAATGAATCATCTTTCCCCCGGGAGTAGGGAGAACACGCCGTCTTATCGAAGCAGACTGCGCACAAGTGCCACCGGAGCTCTCCTTGATTCACAATTAGTGGCAGAGGGATGTGCTGATTATTCTATGGCCCATGGTGCAAATAAGCATGGTTACCTAATTATATATAGCTTATGTAGCTTTTTAAGCATCTAGATAGAACAGGCAGGAAATTAGCACCCTGCTGCAGCGCCACGCCAACACATAGGCTAGCTTTTGGCGAAAGGTATGGCTTTGTTCTGTGGAGAATCACTGCGGAGGTTCTAGCACTGATAAATCACTATGTCTCAAACTGGTGACACAGGATGTTAACAGAACTCAGAGAAAAAGGAGTGTCATTACTCAGAGTCACATACCTTTACAATTTTGGGATATATAGAAAATGCTTGTTTTCCTTTACCTTAAGTCAATTTATTAGTCCATATATCTTTGAATAAGGAAATTGAGAATGAATAAGGAATGGAGAATGAATGTCAGCGTAAGGACAAGCCAGAGAGGGTAGATCCCAGAGTATCGCCTGCTTCTTATTCAAAGCCCCTGACAGGCGTCATCTTCCACTCTCTCTCTCTCTCTCTCTCTCTCTCTCTATCTGTCGCAATTTAAAGAGCTCTAGAAGTAACAGCCAAGGCCCCCGTGTTTTCTCCACACATACACATTATGATGGATGGAAAGACTGCCCACCGTATGATTAAGATCACACACATTCACTGCCACTGCATCACCAGGGCAACCTACAATAGTACATGCCCCCCATAAGACACCTTCAATTCCAGCCATAAATCTGTATGTTTGCAATAATATTGTGCTGCTTTTGAGTTGTAGAATGCAGGGCACTTCATCCAGGGGCAATCGTCAGACTAAAGGAATCATTTTAGGTTTTACTTCAAGTGATTTATCACATAGTTTGAAAACCGCCAAGCACCACTCAGGCAAACATTGCACAAGTTGTCATTTGCACCGTGACATTTTGTAAAATATTATTATCAATCCATTTAATAATATAGTGATTTCTTGTCTTGAGTCAAGTACATTTCCCTGCAGCAGAGAAAAGCTTAAGGCTGCATTTGAAGCGTGAATGCATCACAGCGGCACGGCAAGGCTGTCCCATTTCGAAGCCTCCTTCAAACTTCAAAAGCAGCCTAGAAAAGAAGTCGTTCTTTTCCTGGGCCAGGAAGGACCTATCAGATGCAGAGCTCAGGCAACAGCAGCAGCCATCACGATTATTCCAATGTGAGAACTATATGTGAATAACATGCAGTGTCGATATTAACATCTGACATTATGCAGGTCTGCTTATCGAGGGTGACATGGTGGCACAGTGGGTAGCACTGTTACCACACACCACCAGGGTGTGGGGTTTGCATGTTCTCCCTGTGTATGCGTGGGTTTACAGAACCATCCGGTTATGGCCCACAGTCCAAAAACATTTAACGTACGCGTAAATGAACTGGAGTGCCTAAATTGACTGTATGTGTAAGTGAGTGTGCACGCTGTGATTTGTTGATGCCCCATCCAGGGTTGGTTCCTGCTTCGCACTGATTGCTATATAAACAATTATTCAATTAATTGGTAGATTACTCAAATACAAATTGTTACGGTGAGGCGTGACACAGGGAAGAATGATCCGCAACACTGCCCAACAAAATAGAATTATAATAAACCTAGAAGAACACAAAAAAGGACCATGAAGGGTAAAAATAAACAAAGCAGGTGTCACGCCCAGCTCCGTACGATCCTCGTGTGTGCCACGCCCCCCTCATTACCTCGTGTGAATCCCCGATTGGGATTACCTGTTGCCTGTTATGTTCAACCTGTCTTGTGCATTTAGTCCGTGCCTCAGTTAGTTTCCCCAGATCCGTCATCGTAGTGTCCGTGAATGTCTCTGCCTATCTGTCCTTTGACCATTAAACCTCCTGATTACCCATCAGTTTGGCTCGCTCTCCTGCTTCCCTGCTTGCCGACTTACCCGAACGTGACAGCAGGTAAGAACAAGAACTAAACTATAACTAACCACAAAGGAAACTAACACTAAAAATACAACTAAGAAGACACAGGTAATTAAGCCATGTGGGGAGAGAGCAAGGAGCAGAACACAGTAACACAGGAGCAAACACATAGTAACTACCACAATGAACGAGCAAGGAAACAAGGCAAGGACAGGTGCATATATCCATGGGCTAACAAGGAGCAGGTGTGGGCTGTAAAAAAAACAAGATACAGTGGTACTTTGGAACATGAACTTTATTCGTTCCAGAAGGCTGGTTCAGTTGTGATTTGGTCAAGGTCCAAGTTGCATTTCCCAATAAGATAAAATGTAAATGAATTGAATCCATTCCAAATGCTCAAGTGATTGCTTAGTTAAACTTTTCTACCTACCTAGCTAATGATAGAAAGCATTAACAATCAATATAAATGCTTATACACACACGAAAAAGCACACAAAAATGATAAACGTGAAATAAATTACAACCCCATACTCAGAAGCAAGAGCAGACACACGTGCACCATCAAGTCTCACTATAATTTCCTTTTTAAGTTCTACAGTTACTCCCATTACTTTCCTCTTTGGTTTGCTACTAACCCTCCTCACTTTCTTAGTGGCCATGATTACTCTATTACTAAACGTACTGTACTGTAGGTAAAGCACAAAAAAATCACACTGAACACAGCTTTCACACGTCTATTTTTATTATACTTGTATTATTATTTTATTATTGAGTATAACTGGTCCTTTCAAGTAATCATATTGTTTGATGAAACACCAAAAATGCTTGTATTATATAAAGTATTTATGGGTATTTAACAGACATGGGTATTCAAGCACACCAGGTTGAGCGGTGATCCTCTGTTTTCCCCGTCTTCTGGCATCAGTGTCAGCTTTCGGCACTGAGCAGATGATCTAGTGATGCCAGAAAACGTGGACACACTCGCCGCCGCCTCATCCCACACCTGCTTCACCTCGAGAGCCTTAGGTGGAGCAGTGGTGCTCCCGTAGATGATATAGTCGCGCATTTTCAATTAGCACACCAGAAGGTCCATTTCCTCGGCCGGAAACCAATCTGACTTGTCAGGTAAGCACACCATTATAATAGGAATCTTCTGTAGCTCATGCACTGCGGCCTTTTAAAGGTGAGGTGAAATGCCTTTCTGATTGGTTTATTACATGTTGCACCTAAAACATGCCTCTGAATAATTAAGAGAGATAGGACAACCTTTTTTCATCTTGCACTGGTGCAGAGTCTCTTTTATCCCACTGTTAAATAGCAATATGGATTTGGACATACCCATAAATGTTAGGTGTGTCTTGTGCTTTAAGCTTTGCATTAGATTGTCAAAACTGAGCCCTAGGAGGGACATGAGATAGCCAGCGACACCTGCTGGCCAATCACGGAACAGACATTCTAAAGGGGCAGGACAGGGACCAATCCTGACAACTAATATAATGGACAGTGACAGCCTTACTTGCAAGGAATGTCCGGTAACGTGTTTTTGTGCTGCATGAAGTTGTGCAGTTATTTTATTTTCACGTCTGTAACCTGGCTGATTTTTAGTGTGGAGACTTTCATTCGGAGGATTAAATGGGATGAAATTAGTCTTCTTGCCTTTGTACAATCCATGGGGTAGGCCACAGAGGGGATCACATTTTTCACAAATTTGCCAGCAGTATTACTACATTTTTAAACTGCAAATAAAAAAATAATGTAAAAAGATCAAAGAGTATGTTGGTAGCAGGAGAGGAGTTCACAAGGTAGGGATTGGGCAGGAAATGAATTACCCACTTGAACAAATTGTACAGATTTCTAATTTCAGTGCTTCTCAAATGTACACTGCAATTTCATTTGAAGCCAATAAAAAAACTTAGTTAAAACGCAGCCCAAGACAGCAGTAATCGTCTCCTGAGCCAAAAACCAAGCTAATCAACTGTCATGGAGAAAATCAAAAATAGTGCTGAACACCTAGAGCAGAGAAGGTCTTTATTTTCCTGATGCCAAACATAAGTAGCATCCTCTTGTTCAGTTATATAAACTATAAAATGTGATCTAGGAGAATTAAATTTTTCCCAAAAAGTGAAGAGTTTAACAGCCAACAAAATAGGAAATGTTTTCTGGACTCTGACAACCTTCCTGCAAAAAAAATTGGTCTGATTTCTGCATTTTCTATTTCTGTTGTGACAAATAGTCATTGATTAATGTTTAGATTCAAATAGTCTAATGCAGTTCGTTTAATTCGTTAATAAAATATCATCCATCCATCTTTTGAGATCAGTTAGTCCCATTCAGGTTCATAGGAGGGGGTTCAGGAGCCTACAGGTGCAAGGCAGGGAACAACCCAGGGGGGGGGGGGAACCAGAGTACCCAGAGGAATCCCCACTATGACACAAGGAGAACATTCAAACTCTGCACACATGGAACCCTGGTGGAGACTTGAATCCAGGTCCCAGGGATGTGACGCAACAGTGCTACGCACTACCATGTCGACCCATAAATTATCATGTAATAACAAATTTCAAATTATCTCATCATTGATTTAATTTATCCAATATTTGCAAACATAGATAAAATTGGTATCACTAAAATGCAACTTTGTTTTATTTTATGGATGGGTACATACATATTATGTACATTATTTTTCAATCTAGCTATCCTTAAATGGTAATTTCTCCAAAAAAAGCAATAGGCAACATTACTTCTGAAAAGCCTGGTGATGTGTGGTGCTTAGATTTCCCACGTGAGCTAAACATAATTTCCTGTAATTTAAGTGATTGCAAGTCCTCTGTGAACCAATATTCAAGCCATTTTGGGGTTGATTGCTTCTAGCTTTGAAGATTAAAATCACCTAGCTATAACAGGCTTGCAAGAAAACTGTAACATCCTGCCTATCATATCCATATGACCCTCCTGTCTCCTCCCTGAAGTGGCCCTGATGAGCCACACCTGTTGCTTGTTGCCCCTTGTTAGACTTCATATGTAATTACCTGTTTGTCTCGTCATCCTGAGTCCAGTCATTAAGGTCTACCTTCCTGCTGTCTGAGCCCTTCCCTGTACCAGTTTTCCCATTTTTGACCACTTGCGATCCTGTTTATTTTCAAGCCCCTGTTTAGTTTTGGTTTAATAGACCCCCGTTTGTTCTCTTTATGCCTGCCTTCAGGTCCTTCATCTCACAAACCACAACATAATTACTCCCAAAGAAACCCTGCAACTCTTACCTCAATCCCGGCTTTCAGGCCTACCTACATCCAGCAGACCAGATCCTCCGTGTTCCCCAGATCCAGAGACCTGCAAGGTCGCCAGAGCTGCAGGACCTGCCGGAGCCACCCCGCCTGCCAGCTGAAGACTTCTTCTCGCTCCTGGACAACCACATGGAGTGGAGGCAAAATTCCACCGTGTAAGGTGTCGAAGACCAGAGCACTCTTCATGCGGGCAAGGAAGGCACTGGGGGGGCAAACCCCAGGTACGGATCCCCAGGAGGCAGAGAAGGTCTGGCACTGTATGGGGGAAATGCAGCAGCTAATCAAGCATGAAGGTCCTCAAGTACAAACCCACACACACACAATCCACCTAACCACATGCCTTTGGACTGGGGAAAAATTGGAGTACTTAAAGGAAACACATGCAACATGGAGAGAACTTACACAGTCCACAAAAACATGGGATGGATTCAAACCCACAATGAAGTAGGTGGCAGCTCAGATTTCAGGGGACTGATTTCTTTCATTTGTGTGAGGAGACCTCCTTTAGTGGGCCCTTTAAGCAAGGTGCTTTAGACTGGAGTTTTTGCACAAGGCTGATGAGTTACAGGTACAACTTAAAAATTACACAAGTATGTAGTTTGTTACTTGTAACAATCATGTAAAAATCATGCAATAAGAAATCTGAACAATATACATTTGCTCTGCAAACTATAAATCCTTCATGTTTCATCTTGTACAGAATTTCACCGTAGGCAACAGTCCCACCCTGGCTGGATTCTCAGTCAAGGTCTATAGATATCCAGAACAGAGCACCAGAGTTAGACTTGCCTCTGCGTAAAAAAGTTACAAATCAGGGGTTGAAATCATAAACCACAACAACTATATTGCCCTAAATGAACCAACCATTATCATTGTCTTGAACACATAATGCACTGGGTCAGCTGTCCCAGCACAGTGTTCACATCGTCCAAGTCATTGCAGGGCACTGCCAGAGAGCATGTGACAAATGCACCATGGAGTCCCAAAAGTAGCTGACAAACTCATTTGCATTGTTAACACTCGCCCATTAAAACACGCCCATTAAATGACATGGTATTTCTGGCTATCATTCCAGCTGCTTTAAACTTCAAACTTCATAGTGTTGTATCGACTTGCGAGCGAGCGGGGAAGCAAGCGAGTCGAGCCGAGGATTCAAGCAAACGAGGTTTATTTTGAGCGGACTGGACAAAACAAGTAGAACAGCACATAACGTGAATGACCGGATTGGGGAATACTGACTCAGACGCGGACTAAATACACAGGATAGGCAGAAAACAATAGGCAACAGGTGATGACAATCGGGAATCAACATGAGGTAACGAGGTGGGCGTGGCACACACGAGGATCGAACGAGCAGGTCATGACACATAGAGAGTGACTGAATTTATTTCTATGGACAGTTGTGCAGTTATTTTATTTATAGTCTGATTTTTTGAATTCACAGAACACGTTATGTACTAATGTCTTCAAAATAAGTCAAACATATTATTAATGGTTATCTAAATGCAATATACTGATCACATTTCCTTGAATGATTTCCATCAAGGATTAAGGATTTTTTTTTTTTTAAATCATTATATTAGCTAAAAAAAAAATAAAAAATTTATGGCAATGGAAAGTACTTGAAATTTGTTTTTGTTTCGTTTCGGTTTCAGAGGCAATGTTTATAGTTTTGTTTAGTTATAGTTTTTTATTTTATTTTTGTATTATTTTATTTGTATAGTTTTAACATTTGTCAACAATGATAACCCTGCTTCCAAATGTGATATTAAAAAAAAATTCAGAATTACTTTAAGGATTATTCTCTGCAGGGACCTTCACAGGCTCAACGTGCAAGACAAACATAAATATCTCATCCAAAATCGCTGACCTTGCTTATCCAGTTACTTTTCCCCAGCAGAGGAACAACATTTCAATACGTCCTGAGGGGCCCATTTCTCCCCAGAAACTGAAAGGGCCCCAAATAATCTTATTAATTCCTGTGAATTTAATCCATAACTGCCTTCCTGGTGCCCACTCCCCCAACACCTTCTCTATTAATATGTTCCCATATTCCTAAGGTTTATTTCACCCCTCTCATTTCGTCCCCACATAGGCCATACAAATCAACCAACTCCCTAGTTCTAAATCATGTAAAAGAACCCAAAATCCCCACTGATTTCCTCATTTTAGCCCAACCATTACTGACCTTATTTGAAAGACATAACAAAGTCCTTTCTGCGAGCTGGTGCTAATTTCAGATAAATCCCACTTGAAATGACTGTTTCTTTTTCCACACGCCATAGAGTCAGGGCAGAGAATTAACCTCCTGAGACCCAAGGAAAAAAGTGTCCTTCAATTATAGGTTGTCTTTGGAGGAAATAAGACATCTTGCAATTTAGATTTTTTCAAATGTATTTTTATTTTTTATTTCACAGCATGTCCTCTTTAGTGTACAACTGGAATAAATATGTTTCCTTACATCAGTGAAAAGATAGATGCAAAAACAATATGTCCACTACAATGGACATAAATGAATGGGTGGGGTCTCAGGAGGTTACGACCAAAAATGTCAAGGGCTTGATGAAGTTGCATCTTTGAGATCTGTTTTTTTGGTGAAATATTTGTTCAATATGTTTAAAATTACCTTGCTTTTAACTTCATCATTTTTCTTTAAGCAAGGAAACATCAACAAAAATACAATTGCGTCACTTCAATTGTGTTTTTTTTTTGTAGGAGCTGTACTTGTCTTGGAAAATACGATGGGGGTTACAATTCATTGTGTCCTCAATGTGACCCTGTAGGACCGGCTGAGGCTGTCCTTCGCAGGCCGCAGTGGGGGGATAAAACGACAACCAATACTTTCCTAATTCTCTAACATTTTCAGAGATCTGGGCCTATGTCATAAAATGGAAGCTTTGTGAATGCGAGGATAATCTTTCATGAGCATCCCTCAGTTCTATGACACCACAAAGTTATTTTTTTCATTAATTTTCCTAAAACCCTTTTTGTAATGTAGTGCTGATGCAAGTTTGGAATTTTTCCTGGGAAATACAAGGCAAGGGGGCATTAAACACCACAAATGGAAGGTCAGTTCACGCAGAAGCTCACTTTACAGGGAGCTCACAGACATTAACCTACTTAAATGTCTTTTAGGGTGGGATGTAAAGAAGGCAAAGGAAACTCATATGAACATGGGAGAACATGCAAACCTCCCACACACAGGCAAAGTGGGATCCCAAATGACCCCCTTTTCTGGGTGGAGACATCATACCATGAGATGCTGGTTTATTGTAAATATACTTATAGCTAAAGGGGATCATGACACTTAACTGAATTGCCGTGTTGCTTTTAGAGAAATTTCTATTGATTGAAATGAATTACTTTTCTTTTGCAGATTAATTTATTTCCTGAAAAATGCTTGCTAGGGAAAACTAGTTGCCCTAAAGTAGGACCGAGGCATGCTATAGAATATTAGGGCTGTATAGCATTAATTAGCGTTAATTTCAAAGTCATAATGCATTATTTCTTTGATTGAATTACACATGCAGCATTTTGATACCCAAGAGGGAGAATACTATGAGTTTTTAATATTGACCTATAATATTCGTTCCTGGTTTTAAACAACAAAAAAGGTGAAATCCATTCATCCATCCATCCATTACCTTCCACTTGTCTGGGGTTTGGGTCACGGGGTAGCAGCTTCAGTATAGATACCCAGACCTCCCTCTCACCAGCTACCTCTACCAGCTCCTCGGGGGGGATGCCGAGGCGTTCCCAGGCCAACCAAGGGATATAATCCCTCCAGCGTGTCCTGGGTCTGCCCCGGGGCCTCCTCCCTGTAGGACATACCCGGAAAACCTATATATATATCAAAAGCAGTTAAAAACACTACTAGTCCTGCAAAAATCACATGGTCACTGATACCTGAAGAGGCTTCAGATTTACAGAAAATTATTTTCTCATTCCACAAAATTGGTGTGAAAAATGTAAATCTGAAACATATCTATGGATGCAGCAGATGTGCGTGTGCTTCTGGCCCAGCTTCAGTAGCATATTATGTAACTGATTCTGTGTTTCTCCAGCTGTTGTCAACCATATACTACCACAAATTCAGTATCAGTATGATCCATCAGCTGACTTGTTTCTGTTCTGTTCTGTGTCCAAAAGATTTTCAGTTGGTCCAGGCCCAAAACTAGTTTATTGCTTCTCTACTTTTGACTCAAAGTTCCAATCTTCTGTGGATTTACTGGACTCTGTCAAGCAGCTATGTCCTAATATAATTCATGGAACGAGTGACAGGTACAAAATACAGAGTGCAACCATGTTAAAACATCAAAGAAAAATGCATCAGAAAGCATAAACCCACAGAAGACATGGAACAGAGGCATGACAAACGCTGTCAGCTGACCTTCTCTTCTTCACTTGAGTTATGTATCTCCTCAGTCAATTTCTCACATCTTTCACTCCTTCATAGAAACTTTATGTTTAACGGTTTGAAAAAAGTGAGGGACACAAGAATGAAAAGAATGCCCTGGAAAGTAAAATCAAATGTATGTAATAGCCTTCAACCTTTGTTGTTTAGGTCACTCAAATATTTCATTTTAATATCTTTATTTACAGCCATGGTCTGAAAAGATGAACTCCCTAAGCTTCAACCTGTTTCAGCTGAAAAAGTATAAAATGCTATCTATCCATCCCTCCATCAATTGTCTGCCACTTTTCCAAGATCAGGATGCAGGGGCAGCAGTCTAAGCAGGGATGCCCAGACCTCCCTCTCCCCAGCCACCTCCCCCAGCTCCTCCAGGGGAATATCAAGGTATTCCCAGGTCAGCTGAGAAATGTAATCTTTCCAGCATGTCCTGGGTCTGCCCTTGGGTCTCCTCCCAGTTGGAAATGCCTGAAACACCTCCCCAGAGAGTAGTCCAGGAGGCATCCTAGATAGATGGCTGAACCACCTCAACTGGCTCTTTTCAATGTGGAGGAGCAGCATCTCTACTTTGAGCCCCGATCCACCAGTTGATCTCCCGCTGCCTTATTCCCGCACTTGTGAAGAAGACCCAAATATATTTTAACTCCTGTACTTGAGGCAGTAACTCATCCCCCACTGAGAGATGGCAATCCACCCTTTTCCAATCGAGAACCGTAACCTCAGACTTGGAGGTGCTGACCCTCATCCCGGCCACTTCACACTTATCCACAGACTGCCCCGGTGCATGCTGCAGGTCACAATCTGACAAAGCCAACAGGACCACATCATCTACAAAAAGTAACAATGCAATCAGACACCCTCTGCCCCTTCTGCTATGCCTTGAAATTCTGTCCATAAAAGTTATGAACAGAATCAGTGACAAAGGGCAGCCCTGGTATAGTCCGGCACCCACCAAAAAAAAAAACTTATTGCTGGCAACACAAACCAAACTCTCACTCCATTTATACAGGGACCTAATGGCCTGTAACAACAGACACCATACCCCATTCACCAAAAATACCCCCAATAGAACCCTCCATGGGACACTATTGTATGCTTTTTCCAAATCCAAAAAACACATGTAG